ACACCCTTCCTGTGTAGTAGCCTTTCCTGCCGTGGCATCTTCCCTGTGTTGAAGTTGCCAGCATTGAGTTCTCTTGTGCCCAGGTTTGGGGCTGATTAGGTCCATGGCTAATATATCCTCCCTGTGTAAAAGACAGTAAATCGTACTTTAATATATTTAATTCACTTTGAAATTTACTATTTTTTTCTATTTGTGTATGCTGGCTTTCTCTCAACTATTGTAGACTTTCTTCTTGTTCACTTTCTTTCTCCTCCAACCACTGCTGTAGTCTCTCTTCCTGTTTATTTTCTCGTTCTTCTTGTTTCTTTTCTTTTTCCTCCAACAACTGCTGTGATTTCTCTTGTTTATTTTGCTGTTCGAGCTGACACTGTTGCAGATTTTCTTGCCACTGCTGTTATCTCTCTTCTTGTTTCTTTTCACGTTCTTCTTGTTTCTTTTGCTGTTCTTGTATTACTGCCATCAAATATGCTAAGCTGTAGTTTGATTTGCCACTTCTCGTTTCCATCTTTTTTTTTCCATCCCACTCCCTGACACCAATTTGTTAAGTATTTGCTTGTTTGATAATTTCCGGTAGAAATTATTTCAGAGGAACTTCAGTGATACAAGTCCTTTCTTAATTAAACCAGTTTATTCTTCCTCGATACAAACTTTTAGTACACAGTAATTCCACAGTAAATTACCCGGAACTCTCTTCATTCAATCTTGCAGGCTTTCCCTGCCAGGCTTATATACTAAAGAAGGAGGCGTCTCGAATAATCTCGGGCCTTCCCGATCATTCATGATCATTGGAGAAATTCATCGCGTGCCACCAGCGTCACGTGACTCCCGCTGTCATAACAATATGAATTATGTTAAAAGCACAACATCTACTCTGTTTGTTGTAAATAGTTGAGTGGTGTTAAAAGTACGTCATCTACTATGTTTATTGTAGATATATGAATAGTGTGAAAAGCACAACATTTACAGTGTTTACTCTAAACAGCTGTGTGGTGTTAACTAAATCTTCTCTCTACGATATCCATCAGAAACAACAACACCTAAGCATTTGGGTTGCACCAACCAAGTCCTGACGGCAGAAGGTGGAATAGCTCGTGTAACGAAACCCAGATTTGTAACAGTAGACGGGAGAGATCTGGATGTGGAGTGTACACTGGAGGGTGAACTGGAGCCTGGAGAGTACATCAACACGTGTAAAGCCACTGACCCTGAGCTGCAACTGTCAAGTCTCTGCGTGTATGAGGTAGTAATACAAGGTGGGAGATCGAAGAGGAAGATTATATAATATAATGTAGAAACGTTCAAGTGTTCAAATTTTATAATATAATAAAATATAATATAATGTAGAAACGTTCAAGTGTTTAAATTATATAATATAGCAACGTTCACGTGTTCAAATTTTATAATATAATATGATGTAGAAACGTTCAAGTGTTTAAATTATATAATATAGCAACGTTCACGTGTTCAAATTTTATAATATAATATGATGTAGAAACGTTCACGTGTTCAAATTATTATGGTACGAACTTTGGGGTTAATTATATTATTTCTTAAGTGTAAGATTAAAATTAATAAGCCCCAAATATTTATATTTACAGATAAAATTTAAAAAGGTTTGAATTCTTTTTCTTGTATCCCTTCATAGAGAATTTTACATTATTTCATTGACTGATATGGCTTCTTTACAGTTATATCATATAATGTAAGGTTATGTCATTTAATTCTGACATTATTTATGTAACTGAATTAATAGAACATGTTTGAAAGTACAAATCATTGACTTACATTGAAGTTCTTTAGTTTCTTCTTCCCTAATCCTTGATTACTGTCAAAGTTAGTTAAAGGTGCATTTTCAAAGTGCCAGGCAACGTACCGAATGGTTGTAGTGTATTAGCGTTTCATTTAATTATAGGACAAAGGGGTATTAGCTTTTGTTTTTATCTGTTTCATTTAACAGCGTCAGAATGTGACTCTCTGCCCGAGATTCTAAACGGATACGTGGAGTGTAGCAATACACAAAATATTCATAAGCCTATGTCTCTCTGCGTTTACCACTGTAAGGAAGGATATGTCATTCCAACCAGTCAGTCAAGTCTTATTTACAGACAATGCCTTTTTCATCTCAAATGGAACACAACCAAAATACCAGAGTGCAAAGGTAGATTGTAGTTATAGAAGTTTACCATAGAACATCTTTCAACATTAATAACGTGATATAATAAATATACTCTGTGCTCGATGGTTTAGATATTTACAAGATTCGCTAATTCTCTATGTGTACATCTATATGTGGTATAACTTAACACCCAAAGATTAAATCTAAGTTGTCATTAATTAATACACGTGAGTGTAAGTGCTTGATATGAAATATTCGGCAAGATTAAACTTTTTGTTATATAATTTTTAATATTATTAATATAATAAAACTTTTATGTTTTTTAGTAGTTAATCGCTTATATGAATTTCTATTTAAACAGTTGCATTATATTACTATGATATTATTTGTAATTAAGCACAAAGCTACAATGGGCTATCTGTGCTCTGCCCACCACGTGTATTGAAACCCGGATTCTAGCGTTGTAAGTCCGCAGACTTACCGCTGTGCCACTGGAGGGGCGATATTATTTGTAAAATAAACGTTGGTACATTCCTTCGAAAATATTTCTCCTGTAAAACTATATTCTTTTGTTGTTGTTGTTTTAACGAAAAAATATTCCCAGGTGCCCATCGGTAAGTCAGAAAGATTATAAGGCTAAAATTCGGGTTTCGCTACCTGCAGTGGGCAGAACACAGTTAGCCCATCGTATATCTTTGGGCTTAACAACAAAGTGTAAATTCGAGTCCAATTCTTAAGAAATGCTGAAAATTAATTTAAGCATTTCAGCTAATGACGTTTTCTTAACACGTTGTTGCTGGTTCTAATAATGATAATATGTTATCTAACAGAAGCTGTCCAACCACAGTCCGGAGACTGTACCGCCCGAACCCTGGTGGCTGAAGGAGGAGTAGCTCGTGTAAAAAAAACCCAGGTTTGTAGCAGGAGACGGGAGAGATCTGGATGTGGAGTGTACACTGGAGGGTGAACTGGAGCCTGGAGAATACATCAACACGTGTGAAGCTACTGATGTGGAGCTACAAACCAAAGGAAAATGTCGCTACAAAATCAGTGTGAAACGTAAGAAACATTGCGTAAGATTACGAAGTGCTTTAATGAGTTAGCAAAATGTATAAGGTTATTAGTATGCGTGTTATTACAGACTTATTTATGTTACAAGGTTATTAGTATGCGTGTTATTACAGAGTTACTTATATTACAAGGTTATTAGTATGCGTGTTATTACAGACTTATTTATATTACAGGTTTATTGGTGTACGTGTTATTACAGATTTATTTATATTACAATGTTATTAGTATGCGTGTTATTACAGACTTATTTATGTTACAAGGTTATTAGTATGCGTGTTATTACAGACTTATTTATGTTACAAGGTTATTAGTATGCGTGTTATTACAGAGTTACTTATATTACAGGTTTATTGGTGTACGTGTTATTACAGATTTATTTATATTACAATGTTATCAGTATGCGTATTATTACTGACTTATTTATATTATTTATATTCTTCAACGAGCATTTCTTGTGTGGTCCTTAGCTAAAACTTTAAAGTCAGTCGAGGATATTTATTGTGAGTTTGGAGAGAAGAGGTGGAGGTGATAAAGAGTGACCAGTTCATAGAAGATATTCCTGGGTTCATGTATACCTATAGTTAAATGGCGTCACTAGCACAAAAGTGGAACTTTGAAACGAAATTAAGCACAGAAGAAAAAGGTCGATCAAAGTTAATGTTTGTTTGTCTGCAGTCAACTCGTGCTACAATCAGATTAAGAAAGGATTTGTAGGAAGTTGCGCATATTTATCAATTTTTTCCCCAAAGTTCTGTTGAGGCTCTCAGATGTGGATCATTTTAGTCAGATATCGGCTTATGTTGATAAATATTCAAGTGACGTATCAAAAGACCTTGTTAGCCAGATAATTTCATTCCACGCATATGCCGTGCATTTTCGAAGTCAAGGATACAAGAGGAGTGTTAAGGGTTCTCCATTCCAGTTTCTGTGGCCTCCAACGACAGAAATTTCTCCAAACTCAATATGATAAAAACGTACCTAAGGTCAACGATGACGCAAAGAGACCACACTTTACTAAGCCTTGAATGTAAAAACTCAAAGAACTGGATAAATCCAAAATTTGAGGGACTTCACAAATGCGAAAGCAAGAAAACGTGAACCTCTGTGGACGATATTCAATATTTTAACGTTTTATGAACATAATAAAAAAACATTACTACGCTTCACGTAACGTTTGGACATTTTTCAGAATCAGAACGAGTTCTGTTTTTAATTTTAAAAATAGTGTTTTATGTCATAATATCTTTATGTATTTAGGAGCATAAAGCATGATTCATATAAGCTCTCATAAGTCCTCTGAACCTGGGTTTCATCTGCCCTAGTCAGGCCAATATCTATATTAGAAAACAACATGTATTTTAAAACTTCTTACATGAACAAGTAGACAATGGTGGTATTACTTTCTATTGTAGTTTCTCTATATTGTTTCTTCTTGTATTAATATATAAACAGTTTCATGTGTTTACTAGACAATGGTAGTATTACTTTCTATTGTAGTTTCTCTACATTGTTCCTTCTTGTATTAATATATAAACAGTTTCATGTGTTTACTAGACAATGGTAGTATTACTTTCTATTGTAGTTTCTCTACATTGTTCCTTCTTGTATTAATATATGAACAGTTTCATGTGTTTACTAGACAATGGTAGTATTACTTTCTATTGTAGTTTCTCTACATTGTTCCTTCTTGTATTAATATATAAACAGTTTCATGTGTTTACACGACAATGGTAGTATTACTTTCTATTGTAGTTTCTCTATATTGTTTCTTCTTGTAATTATATATGAACAGTTTCATGTGTTTACTAGACAATGGTAGTATTACTTTCTATTGTAGTTTCTCTACATTGTTCCTTCTTGTATTAATATATGAACAGTTTCATGTGTTTACTAGACAATGGTAGTATTATTTCTATTGTAGTTTCTCTATATTGTTTCTTCTTGTAATTATATATGAACAGTTTCAAGTGTTTACTAGACAATGGTGGTATTACTTTCTATTGTAGTTTCTCTACATTGTTCCTTTCCGTAATGAATTGTGTGCTGATTAGTGTGGTATATAATATGATAAGAGATAAAAAAAAGAGTTTTGAAGACTCCATTTTGTTGTTATTCCAAATTGAGACATTCTTTTGAGTTTTAAAAAGATAAATATTTAAATTGTTAAACAGTAGGTCCAGTTTTAATATATAAATTTATAACTTTCGAGAATATGTTATTATTTTGCTTATTTTTTCAAGAGAAGAATGTATTCCTCCTTCAGATATATTGCACAGTTATATTCAATCCTCAAACTCAGGAGTAATAGTTATTACTCTGTAGTTTTTCAGGAGCAGAATGTATTCTTTCTTCAGAGATACTGTACGGTTATACTCAATTCTCAAACTCAGAAGTAATAGTTATTACTCTGTATTTTTTCAAGAGAAGAATGTATTCTTTCTTCAGAGATATTGTACTGTTATACTCAATCCTCAAACTCAGAAGTAATAGTTATCACTCTGTATTTTCTCAGGAGCAGAATGTATTCTTCCTCCAGAGATATTGTACGGTTATACTCAATCTTGAAACTCAGAAGTAACTGTTATTACTTTGTATTTTCTCAGGACCAGACTGTATTCCTCCTCCAGAGATATTGTACGGTTATACTCGATGCTCTTATGGTAATGAAGAATATCCTATAGGAACAATGTGTACGTACAGTTGTCAAGAGGGTTTTGTTATCCCAACAAGCCAGTTACCAAAGTCCATCAGCCAGTGCTTGCCTGATAGTCGGTGGAATACAACGGAAGTCCCCAACTGCAAGGGTAAGATTAATCAAGTGGAAGAATCTTTCCTAACTTTAGACGATACTTATTCAATCAAGTATATGTCATTTACGGAAATCAATAGCTCGAAAAATTTCAGAATATGAATTATCGTTTCTTTCCAGAGGCTGTCCTACCTAAGCCCACAAATTGCGCAAACGAAACCCTGGTAGCAGAAAATGGTAAGATTCGGATAAATACACCAAGGTTTGTAGCAGGAGACGGGAGAGATCTGGATGTGGAGTGTACCCTGGAGGGTGAGCTGGAGCCTGGAGAGTACATAAACACCTGTAATAGTATTGACCCGGAGTTAAGAACATTTACCGAATGTCGATATGATGTGATCATTATAGGTAAATACCTTTGAACAAAATTGATAAAATATTTCAGAATTAAGCAACGTTTTATATACTCTTACATATAAAGAGCTAGTTTTGGAGTTCTTCAAGAAATTCTTACGCACAGATAAGTGAATAAATCTATAAAAAGTCACCTACTAGTAAGATGGATATAATGTACTAATCTATGTTAACATGGCGAATATCATCAAAACTGCTTAATAACTCATGCATAGTCTAATATCACACTTATACTTTTTACTGAGATACCTGTCAAGGATACCATAAAAATAATATAAAAATGGTTGAGTGACTACATCTCACTTCCAGCTAACTGTTTCCACTAGAATGGTTAGTTTTACAGAATACCTTCTACCAATGGGTTCATTCTCATCACCCATATAAAAATGGTTGAGTGACTACATCTCACTTCCAGCTAGCTGCTTCCACTAGAATGGTCAGTTTTACAGAATGTTAGAAGGTACTCAAATGGGTTCATCCTTATCACCCACATAGCTCTTCACCTTTATCACATGTAGTAGCAGAAATATTCATGTAGCACTTTGAACACTCTAGTTAAACAACGTATTCTCATCACCCTCATATGTGGGTAAGATACGTCGAGTAGAAGATTCGATTGTTTTATGGTCTTTAATTACATAAAATTTTCCATGCGACTTTAAGTCCATAACACTTCTATTCCTCGATGTTCTGGTTCATATGGACACGAGTTTGTTGGAAAGACTCAAACACATGAAGATCTAAATATTTGTTCATGTCATACAATATCTGACAAAACCCGGGTCGTTAAACCACTAAACTCTAGAGTTACGGGTGTGTTCTCCTCTCTTTCTTTACCTAGATGAAGAATTAGACATCTTGAGAAAATATTCAAAAACCATACAACTATGTAGTATTTCAGTAGCTTATCTGTGTGGTCAATCTGTCTCAGCTACCAATAAACCACAACCTGGTAATCACAAAGGAAACAAAAAACACTTTTCTTTATGTACCAGGCATAGGGGGGGGGGACTTTGTAGGATGATGAATAAACTTGACAATATCGTAGTCTTCATAAGTCCTCCTACACCACGTGACAATCTTACAAAAGTAAAATCCTCAGTTCCCAATCCTTTCACAAGGAACGTTGTTTATAACTGTCAGTTTGACTTTGATAAATAATACATTGAAGAAACACAACTTCTGTTATTGTCAAGATTTAAATATTTACCATTAAAACTGTGCTACAAACACACCAGTTACAGGTTTTCGTGTTCAGGAAAACGAAGACATATTGAACTGGTAAAAATAATAAACAGAGAATAAAACACCAAACGGAGAAAAATCAAAGAAGCTATTGCCATCCAAGCAGAAGACAGTGGACCACCAGTGGGTATTGATGAAAACAACAGTGATATCGACATGGTATTAAGCCTTTAATTTATGGGGGCTGTTATTTTTCTATACAGTACTTATGATTGTATTTTTTTTTCATGTTATTATATTGAAGTAATTGTTTGGTCTTACATATTTTAAACAACAGCGCGTATTAGACATGTTTTTGTACAGCTAAAAAGATCGCGGTTTCGATTGGTTAATTTACGTAAAAGTTTAAATCTTTGTAACTGTCATAATTCATTTTCAGCAATTTCTACTTGGTTAATAAATTTAGTACTAGATTTCAGGTATTGTTAGGACTGTTGCCTTTATAGTGTTTCACAGGTAAACGAATTGCTATAATTCAGTGTATTATTGCCCGATGAAGGCACGGATAAGAGGGCCGAAATCTCGTAATCAATTTTTAAAAAAGTTAGTTAAAACGTAGAGAACAGTCTGTATATTCTTTACATTGTCAGGTGTTACAGTAGTTGATGTGGGAAGATAGAAATGTCAAACTTATGCTTACACTGCTCTTAGTAAAGCTATGTAGTATTTCAGTAGCTTATCTATGTTGAGGGTTTTCCCACCATCAATATCACTAATATCAGAAGAAAACATGACTTAATTTTCTTAAACGAGTGTTTCTCATGAACTACACATTAGCTGCTAGCTGCGACCCCCCGCCGGTGATTGAACACGGCGTTGTTGAAGGGTGTTCACCTCAATCTGGCCGATACCCAGTAGGAACTACTTGCAAGTACCACTGCCACGAGGGCTATGTTATTCCAAGGAGTCAGTCAAGAACCAAGGCGATTGAGTGTCTGCGGACTAGAAAATGGAATATGACTCACGTTCCGGAGTGCAAAGGTAGGTCAGAAGCGAAGTCTAAATAATTAAACATAACGTGTGTGAGTGGATGGAAAGCTTTTTAAAGTTCATTAAACTATGCAAAAAGGAAATTAGGAATAGGGAAGTACGGGTGACGTCACCATATGCCAGAGGAGGGATGGGTATGGATAGTACCATGTATTGCAAAGGGAAAGGTATTTGGTGAATAGATCTGTGATCCCTGTGAGCCACATTCCAAACAGCAGTGCTTAAGTATTAAGGTTTTGTGTGAGAATTTCTTCGTTTGTTTATAGATACTTAGAGTACTGGTACCGTCACCTTGTTGAGTTTTAACACTTGCTCCGATATCCAGGTTTAGAAAGTGTCTATCGATTTGTCATTTTTGATTACACCATTCGGCTCAAAGCGTCTTTTGCACTAGAGGTGTTTAATGGATATATCGTGTTATGGAATAGGCTTAACTCCCTTAAGTTTAATCTCGCAGACATTGAGACTCCCCGCACGGCCACCAGATTCATTGAGAACCCTACGTACTAAACCTCTTACGTGAGAAGTCTAGACAGGTCACTTAACTGTTTTAATTACTTTAAATACACATTACTATCTTTACATTTTATAAATTTTGTGTATTCAGTACAAAATACCACAATCAAAAATGCTACATACACGAAGCAGAGTTTTCTCCCTAGTGTCTAATTAAACCTACAAATTATAGTAGTCCCCCTCCCTGCAGTGGCTCAGTGGTAAGTTTTAAGGTTTATAACTCTAAAAACAGGTTTTCGATACTCCTAGTGTGCACAGCACAGATAGCCCATTTTGAAGCTTTGTGCTTAACAAAAAGCAAGCAAATTCAAGTAATCAGTTTCAAAGAATCGATAAACGCGACTTATTTTATTTTCTTTACTTATTTTTGCGTCGTTAGAAAAATCTCTTTCGTTTTCAGTTAACGTATTTCCTGGTGGAGATCAAACATTCCCAACAACATATTGCAAATTTCTAAAACGAAGATTTGATTCAACATTCCCTACAATTTTTGGATATTGTATAAAGCAGAATGTAAAATTCTGCAGTTCTGGAGAAATGGAAAGAAAACCAAGTAGGATTCGAATCGATAATCTCACCTCCAGGCGTTGTTTTAGTCACACAAGTTATGGGATTACACATGGCATTTTCAGTCTTAACTTTCTTGCTTTTGTTAAAAAGAAAATTTTGGCTTAGATTTTTGCAACAATCTCCATACAAGAGCTAGCTGTCCCTAATTTTGAACTGATAAACTAGAGGGAAGGCAGCTAATCAACAGTACTCACCGCCAACTTTTAAACTACTCTTATCTGATCAAGAAGTGAGGTTTTACTTTCACTCTTATAACGTACTCACGGCTCCAAAGTGTGGAGAATGTTTTAATGCAATGGGACACGAACCATGGATACTTGGATTTGAGTCTGTGCAAGATAATCATAAAATCACGCCCTGCTCTAAGAACAAGACTGGTATACGACGGTGTAGCTTAGAAATCCTCAATGACGTAACCAAAAGATTTTTGCCACTGGGGAAAAAACACAAATAACTACATACTGTATGTTATAAACTTTTTATTTGTTGCTCGTGCTAAGCGGAATTTACGATGTTTCAGTTTTAAGTATATACCGACCCCATAGGTTTTATAAAAATGTAATAAATCTCTGAACTTACCTAATTTTTAAAAGTAAAGGCACCGTTTCTTAGAAACAGGTTATAACGGTTATGCAAGCTACCCACTACCCATTAACAAAATTCTTTCTGGATTTGTGCAGATTTCTTGAGACTGGAACAGTTATAGTATAGCTTGTGAACCCTACTTCGTCTCCGTGTACTAAAAATGTTCTTGTGAACCCTACTTCGTCTGTGTGTACTACAAATGTTATTGTATATCCTACTTCGTCTGTGTGCACTACAAATGTTCTTGAGAACCCTGCATCGTCTGGGTATGTTAAAATGTTCTTGAGAACCCTAAACCGTGTGTGTATGCTAAAATGTTTTTGTGAACCCTACTTCTTTTCTGTATACTACAAATGTTCTTGTGAACCATATATCGCCTGTGTACGTTAAAATATTCTTGTGAACTCTACATCGTCTCTGTGTACAGTAGTGTTCTTGTGAACCCTACATCTCCTGTGTATGTTAAAATGTTCTTGTAAACCCTACATCGCCTGTATATGTTAAAACTTATGAATCCTATATCGCCTGTATAAGTTAAAATGTTCTTGTGAACCCTACTTCTTTTCTGTTTACTAGAAATCTTATTCAAATCCTACTTAGTCTCTGTGTGATAAAGCAACTGCGTATAATTTTCGTTTATTTTCGTGAACAGAAGTTATTCCACCAACCCCTTTAAACTGTGTTAACCAGACCCTGGTGGCTGATGATGGAGTGGCACGTGTAAAAAAACCCAGATTTGTAGCAGGAGACGGGAGAGATCTGGATGTGGAGTGTACACTGAAGGGTGAACTGGAACCTGGAGAATACATCAACACGTGTAAAGCTACGGATAACGAACTTCAAACTGCTGCTCACTGCCTCTTCCACGTGAACGTAACAAGTAAGAATATATCTCACTGTCTCTTCCACGTTAACGTTACAAGTAAGAATGCATATCACCGTCTCTTCCACGTGAACGTAACAAGTAAGAATATATCTCACTGTCTCTTCCACGTTAACGTAACAAGTAAGAATATATCTACAGTGAGATATATTCTTACTTGTTACGTTAACGTGGAAGAGACAGTGCTCTTCCACGTGAACGTAACAAGTAAGAATATATCTCACTGTCTCTTCCACGTTAACGTAACAAGTAAGAATACATATCACCGTCTCTTCCACGTGAACGTAACAAGTAAGAATATATCTCACTGTCTCTTCCACGTTAACGTAACAAGTAAGAATACATATCACCGTCTCTTCCACGTGAACCTAACAAGTAAGAATATATCTCACTGTCTCATCCACGTGAACCTAAAAAATAAGAATTATATATTATATACAACATGTCGAAATAATTTCCTGTTCTTATGTACAAAAATAACCATTATAAAATTCTTTTCAGTTTCCTTCGAAAACTGGAAATTTGTAATAAACTATTAAATGAGTAAATATTATATTAACACTCAGTTTCCCAAACTTTTAACAACAGTTCTCAAACGAATATTTTTACGTATGAAATGTAGGATTTAAAACCTTATTTTCTCACGAAACTTGTTACGTAAGAGTTTAGATTCATCTTTGACACCTAAGGTGTGAAACCTTATCTTTAACACCAAGCTTGTTGCATAAGTTCAAATTTACTGCTTCTATTTCTACTCCAAAACGGTGTTTTTAAGTATTCTTTGAAGTTTGCTTTAACAAATGATAAAACTGGAATACGTTTTGTCTGATTTCTTTCTAGTTAATTTTCTAATGCATTAGATTGTTTCCGTCCTTTAGCTCTCAAGTGTATCTTTCCACCGAGATTAGACCACGGGCAGACGAGATGCATCTCTGGAGATCTTGGTGAACTAACTATTGGAACAATTTGTCACTATCATTGTGATGATGGTTACGTCATCCCAGTCAGCCAATCAGATTTCACAAGGACGGTATGTCTTTCCAACCTACAGTGGAACATAAGTGTGGTTCCTAACTGTTTATGTAAGTATTCTAGTTATTGTTTTGATCTCAAGTTTAGCAGAATGATTACTTACTTAATTTTAAAATTTTTATGCCTTCGCAGTTTTTGGACGAACATATTGACAGGTTTATATTTCATATATTTATACATTTATTTTCATCTCTCTCCGTTTTTTTTTTATTGTTTTTTCTCCTTTTACAACAATAGTGCTTATTAAGCCCAAACCTATCATGTGCACCAACCAAACCCTGGTGGCTGATGATGGAGTGGCACGTGTAAAGAAACCCAGGTTTGTAGCAGGAGACGGGAGAGATTTGGATGTGGAGTGTACACTGGAGGGTGAACTGGAACCTGGAGAATACATCAACACGTGTAAAGCCACTGATTCGGAGCTACAGACCACTGCAGAATGCTCTTACAAAATTCAAATTTCAGGTACATTTCTCTGAACGAAATAGTAAGGAAGTAACACCTTTTACTATCGAAACGGTGTTGCGACACCTTTCTCGTATATGTACTCTCAGGCCTAACCACGATAACATTATTTCATTGTCTTAATAAGCGGAAAATTAGTTTTGTTGGTGAGATTAATTCAACATTTTGACCATTAGTTTTTTTACGGTGTGCATAATGTTGATGGAATTAGTTGAACATTTTGACTGTTATTTTTTAAGTTGTACACAGTGTTGGTGGGATCAGTTGAACATTTCGGCCATTAGTTTTAAGGTGAACACAGCGTTGATGTAATTAATTGAGCATTTGACCTTTATTTTTTTACGGTGTACATAATGTTGATGGGATTAGTTGAACATTTTGACTGTTATACAAATAATTATAAGGTAGTTAAAATTTACCAGAAAATATTTAATTGAGCTGTTGTCCAAGTTGAATTTTGGTGGATTTGTGTTATAATACTTAAAGCTCCCACCCCCAGTGACTAAGAGATAAGTCTAGAGGCATATAACGCTAAAAACCAGGTTTCGATACCCGTGATGGGCACAGTACAGATAGCTCTTTATGCTTAACAACAAACAACAGAATACACAATGTTTGGAGTAACCAAAATATGGCATTCATGGAACAAAAATAGTGCTAATATTAGCAACTTTCAGACGTGTTTATTATTTAGAAGTTGTGGAGACTAAGTAGGATAGTATAGCATTTTTATTTGCTACGTAGTTCATAATTTTAGTGATGATGATTTTATAGTTCAGTAACCTAAATCTCCTAGGCTGATCGCATCTCATAAGTTGTTAGAGGATACTTTGACCAATTATATCAAGGGTACCTAACTAGTGATGTAGTGCTTTGTCATTATAAATAGGTTTCAGTTTTCTTTTTTGTTGGGTTATGATGTTGCGGGCTTCTAGTTGTATAATGTTTTCAATAATTTACTTTGTAGTCCTGGTTTATATAGTTTCCTAAGTTTTCATCAGTTCTTTTTAATTCAGCTACGTCACATTAAACTAAGTTTCTTCTTCTAAAAAAAACAATTAATATTCAATTAAGATAGCGTTTTTAAAAATGTGTAAAGTACTCTCTCAATAAGATAAAGTTGAGTTTAAACTATAATAGTTGAAATCTTACACTATTCTCCCAGACTGACCTGACAGGTCTTGTTGTGAGAAGTTCAATGAAACATATTTATAGTATATTTCTATAATATTTTTATTTATTTATCACGAGACTACTTTTTGATCAAAGTTTTCGAGACTATAGTTTTCTCGTTTTTTTATCCCAAGACTACTTTATTAGTACGAATTTCATGACAACTCTGTCTCTCGTTTATTTAATACGTTACTACGTTTAGGTGCACCTTTTCGTAACTATAATATTACTCATTTACTTGTCCTAAGACTAATCTTTCAGTTCACATTTTCATGACTACATTGTCTTCTGTTTAGTTAACACAAGACTATTTTTTCAGTGCACGTCTTCATGATTATAGTTTATTAATCTACTTATCACCAACGTACTTTTGTGCACATTTTCATGACTACATCGTCTTCCGTTTCCTTAGCAGGAGGCTATTTCGTTGGTACACATTTGGCTGAATTTTGCGCATAGTGTTAACTGCAGTACAACCAATTCATAACCATTAAAATATGATATTTCTTATGGGGTTAGATGTGTATGTGTAAATAATAGACAACCAGAATATTCAGTTATTTATTCTATTATATTTTAGTTTGTTTGGTCAAAGAGCATAAGTCAAAGTTTGAAAAATCTTTGTATGTTTCAACGTCTTGACAGTCTGCATTATTAGTAAATTCTTAGTTCTGATGGTTGTGAACCGTACGATAAATACTAACTGTCTTTTATCATATTTCTCTTCCAAATAATAAATAAATAATGATTAAATATTCTTGATGAATGCTGCCATCTGGTGTTGAGTTGCTCCATCACTTTCAGAGCCAAAATGTGAACCCCCGCCGACAGTGGATCACGGAATCGTTCATTGTTTACCTGGAAAATCTGGTGATTTAACGGTTGGAGCCGTTTGTAGCTACGATTGTGAAGAGGGCTTTGTAATCCCAACAAGTCAGTCAGAAATCGCAAAAAGGTTTTGTTTGTCCGATTTGAAGTGGGATATAACGAAAGTGCCCGAATGTTGGAGTGAGTTTCTTTTATACTTCTGATTATGATTTTTCTTAAAGCTATTAAGTGCGTTTTGTTTCATTTTATGTGCCTTCGATGACAAGACCAAAACTGTAGACAGTATTCCAAATGATGCCTAAGAACATGAACTATAATATCGTTATATACATGAAACTGATTTCTACTTTTCTGTTTGTCAAAGGGGCTTACCCACCAAAACCTGTGAACTGCACCAACCAAACCCTGGTGAGTGAAGGAGGAGTTGCTCGGATAAAGAAACCTAGGTTTATAGCTGGAAACGGCAGAGATGTGGATGTGGAGTGTACACTGGAGGGTGAGCTAGAGCCTGGAGAATACATCAACACGTGTGACGCTGTAGATCCTGAACTCTTGACCACTGGGGTTTGTTATTACGGAATAATAGTGGAAGGTAATTCGTGTTGTCTTCTACAATGTAACACCTCTGTAAAGCCCTTTTAACTTTTGTTGATCAGATTTAATTATTGAGTCTAATTGTAAGTATTAATTCCTCTATGATGTTAGTAAAATATTTAGGTTGAAAAATTGATTAAAGACTAAAGAAAAAGAAACCCCTATAACTCGAGCACTTGAAAAAGATAGGCCTTTCTTCATCAGGGGCAGACATTAACATTTCGTGATATTATAGCAAAAGAAACTATTCATTAGAATGATCACAAAAATTAGTAATCTTCCCACGAAAATGTTGCTGAAAACTAAAATGGCTTTTAAACATCTAGACTCTGGACTGTGTTGCTAGGATACATTTTACGTCATATATATATGTCTTAAAACCGTAATAATTTACGTGATGTTTAACGTACACCAAAACCAATGTGTTATTTTTTGAACGTTCAGCAATTTGTCGTTTTCTGACACTCGATTAAAACAATTCATATGACAATACCAAATATCTAACTTACAACCTGTCTGTTTTCAGCACGAATAATTAATTCCTAAATGTTTTACCATATACGTTTACATATATATTACCCCTTGAGTAACGTGATTAACCTTTAGTAAATAATGCATAAATTATTTATAATAAACATCTAATATTTATCTTTAGCAAAATTGCCTCCAACTTTCAGATTCAGTTATGTTGTCATCATCAAAAAACTGAATTAATGACTTGGACCTAGGAGTTTATCTGTTAGATTTTGACATTAACTATAATTTCGTTACATTGATGGGACTGGACTGAGTTTCTTGTCAATGTTATTATACCTGATATTTATTTTTCAGCACCACAATGTAACCGCCCACCAAGAGTGAATCATGGATCTATTCGGTGTACTCCCGGAGAGCATGGTGACCTTACCTCCGGGTCAGTTTGTAGTCTTCACTGTGACAGTGGATATGTCGTACCGGTCAGCCAATCAAAGTTAATATCCAGAATATGCCAGCCTAATTTACAATGGAATATCACCCAAACTCCAAAGTGTTTAAGTAAATATTCTCAAAAACAATGTTCGTTTTTATCTTTATTAGCTCTGCTTATGAAAAATACTGTACTGAATAGGTTTTAAATTTTTGATGTTAAAATAATGTCTTTAAGATTTTGATCGTTTAAGGAATTAACACATAGTAAGCACGTTTTCAAGTGTTTGGTGTCCAACGATTCTTTACGGAGTTAGTATTGTAACAAACGTGTTTTCAAGTGTTTGATGTTCCAACGATCTTTTAAAGATTTAGTCTTGTAATAAATACGTTTTCAAGTGTTTGGTGTTCCAATGATTTTTTAAAGATTTAGTCTTGTAATAAATACGTTTTCAAGTGTTTGGT